TAGATTATAATAAGTGCTGTAAAAGAAAATAAAGCAGGAAAGGGGGATAAATATCTGGACTGGGGGTAAGTTTTGCACATTTTAATCACTTTCGACACCTGACATCATGAGGAATGTGGGTAAAAATAAACAAAAAGATTTTAACCGAGTGCAAATTTAACTAGACAAGATCTTCAAGGGCGGGGCATGTAAGAAGAGATCAATAGACAGATAGTGGACTCTGAACCTCCCACTTACTAGCTATGGGACTGTAGACATACTATATAACCTCTCAGGTTCAGTTTTCTGAGAAGGAGTAATAATAATGATACTATTTATTGCAAAGTATTGTCTTAAGAAGTAAATGAGTTGCCTATAACTTTGGGAGGCCGAGGTGGGTGGATCACGAGGTCAGGGGTTTGAGACCAGCCTGGCAAGCATGGTGAAACCCCAGATCTACTAAAAATACAAAAATTACCCAGGAGGCAGATATTGCAGTGGGCCGAGATCGCGCCACTGCACTCCAGACTGATGACGAAGCAAGACTCCATCAGGGGTGGGGGGGCGGGGTTGGGGAGGGAAACAAAGAAGTAAATTAGTTGATATATCACATATAAAGTTCTTAGAATATTGCCTGGTATATAAGCATTTTCTCTTTTTACTAAATAATTATCATTATTTTTGGAAAGAGTGGCTTTTATTAATATTAATTCTTGGCTTTTGTGATGCAGCTGAGGTGTTTATCATAAAATGCCATTACTTTGAATCAGTCTTGGAGGCATGGCAGCCAGTGAAAAGAATGTGAAGAGGGTTCTGGTATCTGAGAGACGCGAGTATTAGTCTCATGTCTGTTCAGTTTTAATGGCAACAGCAGAACCTTGTGCAAGTTAATGCTTTTTTTCAGAAGTCTCAGTGAACTCTCCATAAAATACCCATTTTGTAGAGCTATTTAAGGAACTAATGAAGCAGTATAAATAGAAAGCCTTTGGGACAGGCCAGGTGCTGTGGCTCATGCTTATAATCCCGGCACTTTGGGAAGCCGAGGCGGGTGGATCACCTGAGATCAGGAGTTCAAGACCAGCCTGGCCAACATGGTGAAACCCCCATCTCTACTAAAAATACAAAAAATTAGCTGGGTGTGGTGGCAGATGCCTGTAATCCCAGCTACTCGCCAAGTTGAGGCAGGAGAATCACTTGAACCCGGGAGGTGGAGGTTGCAGTGAGCTGAGATCGTACCAGTGCACTCCAGCCTAGGCAACAAGGCAAGACTGTAAAAAAAAAAAAAAAAGAAAAGAAAAAGAAAAGAAAACCTCTGGGACACATAGGCAGTCAGTAGATGACAAAATTATGATGAATTTTGGGTAGAGCTTTACTCTTTTCTAGAGGGTATAAACTAAGGAAAATTATTAGAATGCTCAAGAGACTACTGTGTCAAAGTCTTATCAAGCCATTTGAGTTCTTTAGTTCTTTCACATGCAATTGATATTTTCATTGTTACCCACTTTTAAAAGCATCACCCCACCAAGAACACTTACAAGGTAACCCTGTTAGGTTAACTTGCTACCAAATGCAAATAACATAATATAACTTATATATATTTTATTTTATTATTTTTTTGAGACAGGGTCTCCTTCTGTCACCCACGTTGGATTGCAGTGGCACAATCATGGCTCACTACAGCCTTAAACTCCTGAGTTCAAGCAGTCCTCCTGCCTCAGTCTTATGAGTAGCTGGGACTACAGGTATGCACTACTATACTTGGCTAATTGAGTTGTGTGTGTGTGTGTGTGTGTGTGTGTGTGTGTGTGTGTGGAGATGGGGTCTCACTATGTTTCCCAGGCTGGTCTTGAACTCCTGGGCTCAAGTCATCCTCCTGCCTCAGCCTCCCAAAGTTTTGGGATCACAGGCATGAGCCACCAAGCCCTCCCTGGAATACAAAACATTTCTAAAATACCCCTCTCTTCTGTTACTTCAGAACATTCAGAACATTCTTAAATTTAGTTTTCCCTTCAATCAATTTAAATTACATGAACTACATTGATTTTTTCTTTTCTTTTTTTTTTTTTTGATATGGAGTTTCGCTCTTGTTGTCCAGACTGGAGTGCAATAGCATGACCTCAGCTCACTGCAATTTCTGCCTCCCAGGTTCAAGTGATTCTCCTGACTCAGCCTCCCAATTAGCTGGGATTACAGGCATGCACCCCCACTCCCAGGTAATTTTGTATTTTTAGTAGAGACAGGGTTTCACCATGTTGGTCAGGTTGGTCTTGAACTCCTGACCTCAACTGATCCACCCATCTTGGCTTCCCAAATTGCTGGAATCACAGGCGTGAGCCATTGTGACTGGCTGATTTTTTCTCTTTTCTAAACAAGCATTTAATTTTAATAAAAGTATGTTTCCTACAGTTGCCGACCTGTACGGCTGACCAGTGGTATGGATTGCTAAGTCACTGTGAGGAGGTTTCTGTTTGGTGGAAGCAAGGTATACAGGGGACAAGTCCCTCTTGTTCTCTCTTTAAGGAGATCAGGCAACTCTACACAGTGCCTCTGCCCCAGGCTTAAAAAAGGGGCACTCTGACCCTTTCATATCTCTCAGGGGAAGAAGCGTAGCTTCTGGAGGTTAAGGATCACCTAAGTCCAGTCCCAGCTGGCTGAGTTATTTACTCCATGGCAGTGGGAAAGCCACGACCAACCCTGAACTTCTTGTTTGTAAACTAGGATGAAAGCTGTTTTTACAACAGGAATGTTGTGGGGGAGAAAAATGCCTTAAGAGGTTTTGAAAAAGTTTGCTAAAGAGCATGGGATTGTTGCTATTACAAAGTGCTGTCATAAGAGGGGATAATCAGTCCCATACTTTTTTCTAATTCATTTTTCTCTAAAGTGCACTTAGCAATCATTGTAGGTGTGTTCTTTCTCCTCTTTGTGGCTCTGAGTGTTTTGTTCCTGTCACTTTCTGGGGTCAAATATTGAAAAAGGTAGGAAAAAAAAAAAAAAAAAGAAATAGAGTCCTTAATGGAAGACTTCAGTTAAAAACAACCCAAGCAAACTTGCTTATAACATTGCATACAAAATTTGACCAAAATGAGAAAACTAGGATTAGGAAGTTTCACCACCTGTCTCTCGCTCCCTTGTTTTCAGATGTAACTAACTAATCTCCTACCTCTCTCCAAAGTTCAGAGTGCCTATTTTGTGTCAGCAGGCACAGTGGTGGGTGCTGGGAATACAACAGTGAACAAGTCAGTAAGGACCCTGCCTGCATGGGGCTGAAGAGAAGATAGAGAGGAAAAACAGATAATAACAGGCACACGTAGTTAAGTGAGTAATTGTGATAAGGGATGCAAGAAAAAAAAAAAATAGAACGTTAAAAAATCAGCAACTCTGTGAACTCTTTCCTAGCAATTTCCTGATGAGATTTCATAACCTCTGTTCATTCCTGCGAACTTTCAAAGTTATTAACTTTCAAAGTTAATAACTGCTTACTTTTTATTTAATAGCATTTATGCTTTTTATTCTGTTATTTTCAAGAGTGATAAAGGAAGATGGTCCTCTTTTCTTGTTGTAAGAGCCCTTCAAATATCGGTGACAGCTTCCATATAAGATTAGTGGATATGCTTAAAACATAATACATACCATTCATATAGCCTCAGGTGTTTTGCTTTAAATTTGTATCAAAAATATTGCTGAACTTTTAGAGATGAATGGCCTATACTTTACCTACAGAGCATTAGCAATCATTCTGATAAAATCAAAGCATTTTCAGTATTCCTAATCAAAAGGATCTAATAGAAGCCCTGAGAAAAAGAGAGCTATTCATCAATGACAAAACATCACACCACCAACAGCAATGGAAACAACAAAATGAAAAGGCAATCTACAGAATGGGAGACAATATTTGCACACCATACATTGAGAAAGGGTTCATATCTGAACTATTTAAGTAACTCCTATAACTCAATAGCAGAAACTCAAATAGCCCAACTTAAAGATGAAACAAGAAACTGAATAGACATTGCTCAAAAGACATACAAATAAATGGCCAACACATAAATGAAAAGGTGCTCAACATCACTAATCTTCAGGGAAATGCAAATCAAAACCACAATGAGATATCATCTCAAACCTGTTAGGATGACTATTATTTTAAACAAACAAACAAACAAACAAAACAAGAGATAGCAAGTACTGGCAAGGATGTGGAGAAAAAAGAACTCTTGTGTACTATTGGTAGAAATGTAATTAGGTGCAGTCACTATGGAAAATAGTATGGAGGTTTCTGTAAAAATAAAGTATGGAACTCCAAAGGATTCAGCAATCTCGCTTCTGGGTATACAACCAAAAAAATTGAAATCAGGATCTCAAAGAGACATCTGCTCTCCCATGTTCATTGCAGCATTATTCATTGAAAGTAACCTAAATGTTCATTGAGAGATGAATGGATGAAGAAAATGCAGTATATACATATAATAGAATATTATTCAGTCTTAAAAAAGGAATTTCTGGCTTAGTAGTAAAATAAGCCCCATCACAGTACATAATAATACAGGATACCACTTATATGAGGAATCTAAAAGAGTCAAACTCATAGCAGAGAGTAGAACAGTGAGTGACTGCCAGGGGCTGGGAGAAGAGAACACGAAGCGGTATTATTCATAGGGCACAAAGTCTAAGTTATTCAAGATATATAAGTTCTAGGGACCTACTATACAGCAGAATGCCTATAGTTAACAATATAGTACACTTAAAGAAATTGCTAAGAGAATAGCTCTTGTGTTAAATATTTTTATCATAAAATATTAATAATAATAAATAAAGAGGGCAGGAGGAAACTTTTGTAGGTGATGAACAGGTTTATGGTATAGGTTGTAATGATCATTTCACAGCTGTTTACCTCCAAATTCATCAAGTTGTATACATTAAATATGTACAGCTTGCCTGTCAATCATGTCTCAACAAAGTGCTTTAAAAAACATCACACCACCACATAAGAAATAATGGCTTGTGCATGCAGAAATATTAATTACCTGTTTCCTTTTCTGCTGGGCCTAAAACATAAGAAAAGAGAATTTAGGAGAAAAGCAAACTACCCTTGTTGCTCATATAATGTAAAAGGCCACTTCTTTCTAACTTAGGTTTGATTTGGTTCTTAGTCTGGTCCTGAGGATTTTTTTTTTTTAAGAAGAAAGCAGGGGGAGAGGGAGATGATGAAAAACATAGAAGTTTTTCTCACCTAATGAGCAAGCATTTTGTTGTTGCTACTTTTTAAAGAAGACTGCTCAGCATTCCTACCAGAGTGGGTTGCTAGGATCCATTTTCCAGAATATTCTTCCATTAGACCAGAGATAAGAGAGAAGTGACTTCAAAAAGGGAAAAGGTAGGAGAGTTTCCTGCTCACTGTCCATTGGGCCCTACCATAGGCTTTTATATAACACAGACTTGTTTTTTGTGTCCCAAAAAAAAAAAAAAAAAAAACAGTTTCTTTATCCATTTAAAATGGATTCTATGGCTATAAAATACAAAGTGTACTGCATATATCTTTTCTGTATCCTTGGACAAGGTAATAGTCAAAAATATTAACTCAGTTAAGAGCAAAATGATTCTTACAGGTTTTTTTGGGTAGAGTACATAACATTTACATAAAACAATACAGTGTTTATTCAAGTTCCCCACAACTTTCATCTTTGCCAGATTTGAAAGGCTTTAATATGTCTATTTTAATATCACTTCTTCCAATCTGTATCAGAATACTCAATACTCGCAAAACATGAAAATTATTTGGAAGAGTATTTAAGACTGAAACCCAATTTGTTTATCTTCCACTTTCCTCGAATGATCAAATATTCATTGCTTTTGCTTTAACACAACATGATATCATAATTAATGAAGTTAAAATGGTAACTAAGGAGGTTTCATGTTGTTACTCTCGTGATATAATATTGGTTGCTATGGTGATGAGATGGCTTTTTTGTTAATCACTCAGGAGGTTGGTTATCGTACGCTTGTTAGAAAGCTTGACCAGATTTGGAGAGAAGAAAGGAATAATAACACAAACAATTATCATCAATCCTTTTCCCTACCTGAATTTTGCTAAAACTATTCTAATATCAACTACTTCATAAATTCATGATTCCTTAAGTACCATTTTATATAAAAAGTTACTAAAATTTTATAAAGGATGACTTACTTTTATTTTCAGGTAAGAAACTTTTATTTTCAGATAAGTATTTAACATTAACTGCATTTTTTCCCTCTATTAGTTAATCCTTCATGTATTATTATGTAAGTCAGTTTTATGACAATTTGAGCAAAAAATCTGAGGCCTTTCCGTTACTTTCAATTATATAAATTAATGTTGTTGAATAAAACTGTTGAATAAAAGTTGATTTTGTGACTTTGCCACAAATTCCAATCTACTTATTTCTAAATATTTAAAAAATTAGTATCCTTAAATGAATAAAGCCTGAAGAAAGAAAAAAAATAGCACAGTTCTCTCAAGAGATCTAATCTTTCAAATGCATCAATACATTGCAAGCAATTAAAAACCAAAGGAAGTTCTATGAGTTTATTTCAGCCCTCAATAATCAACAAGTTTCTTCCTTTTTTGAGTGATACTGCAGAACAGAAAATAAAATTACATAATACTACACTGTTACTGATCAGGAAAGATTTTGCTGCCTATAGTTCAAATGTTAGACATACTTACAGTACTGCCAAAAAACACAACCCATGAAAACACCTTTTGGTTTTTTGAAAACTCAAAATAAGAACAAAGGACAACTTAAGCACGAATCCTGGGTCTTTCATTCAAGCAGAGTCCCAGGAGGCATATTAAAGCAATGAATAGGAAAAAGCTCTTCAGTTCACCAGCTGAGATTTTAATGAGACATTTCCCTTTGCCATGGCACAGGATTGTTCAGGAAAGGAAAGGACTTCTCATAGAAAATTCAGTTAATAGGCATTGTTGGCTCTCACTGCCACTTCGACAATTGCTCACTGCACTGACCTTCTATTTTGGCATATTCTGTGAGTCTAGTGTAATTGATCAAGGCAGCTTTCTCGAGACATTTTCTGACCACTTTCTTCACCTCTTCTGCTGGTATGGGAGTGGCAATATCTTTCATTAAAACCTACAGAGAGAGGAAGTGGAAGGGTGAGGGGCAGGGTTGGGGACAGACAGACAGAAGAAAAAAGATAGATGTTGCATAAAATAAATACTAAAGACAAATTACACAAATTGTCCTTGATCTGACTATTACTAGGAAGGGGAGAGGGGTCCTAGGTAACTTGGGGGGAATGTAATGGGTCTGCAATGTACTTCCCAACTGGGAATGTAATCCTCCCACCTTAGCTCCTCCTAAGCCTAATTTATGCATTTCAAAACCTCCCCTAGACCAGGTCACCCTTCAGTGTGACTGCCACTTTTTCTCCAGGGACCTGTGACACCATTAGAGCAGCTGTTTCAGATCAAGATTACAGTTCTTGGGACAAATAATAAAGTTTGTTTTGCACATCCCTAATTTAAAAGCCTTGAGTCTTCTGAGCAATATATTTGAGAACAATGACAAAAATTCCATTAAGAATAAGCATAATCTTTGCGCTCTGAAAAAAAAATCAAGACCTCTAATCTCACTAAATTTTAATGACAGTGATTTGCTGAAGATACCATGGCAGTCTATTCAAAGAGGGGGGAGAAAACCTCTTTGCCTTAGCGAAATGAATGCTTATGGAGTACTGAATGTTAAAATACATAAAAACCTTCTATGGTTTTAAAAAATAACTGATTATTCTCTGTTGGGCTCCTAAAATGTGTTTTTGGACTTTTCCTTTAAAAATGTTATTACTAGGCAAAGGAAAAATACAATTACGTCCAGAATTCAAAATGTAATGTATTCATAAACACTGTTACATTGACTCATAATTTTCTTTAAAACCTTCATAGTGATAAAACTGCTCACATTAAGTTTTGATTACACTATTAGTAAAACTATCTTTCTGCATATTTAATGCAATTATTCTTGCTTTACTTTCATTCACATTACAAATATATGCCAGAATGTTAATATGGAGAAGACAATGCTTTTGTAAGTGCTCTATTTCTATGTCTTATATTGAAAGGAATATTGAAAGAACACGAAAACATGCATTTCATGTTGTATTATTTCATTCTCTTTTAAGTCAGCCTCAGCACTAAGGATTTTGTCATCCCTGATTTATTTAATCATCCAAGTATCAGTGACCTTTGACAACATTTTTTAAAGGCTACTCACTGACGACATTTTAAAGATTTTGTTAGGCAAGGTTTTCTTTTTTGAAAATAGCAAACTTTATGATTAAAAAAATCTTTCTCTATCAAATTCAGTAATTCTGACAAATATTTAGCACTTTAATTAGCACTGCACATTAGACTTGGCAGACAGAAAAATCCCTTTGTGCATAGTAAAAAATAGACATGCACCATTAAATGTGGTTATTACTAAACTTTAAGATTAATTTTTTTCATATGTGGAACCACAAACGTTACTATTATACTTCCCATGGTGACAAACTTTACATAACAAAAATGACTGTTAAAATTAGAATGTATATGTCTCCCAGGTAATATTTCATATTATCTGGGAACCAGAAACTTACTTTCTGGCAAAGTACAGGTAAAGGGCTGGCAAATGCAAAAAGGGAGATGTCAACCTCGATTTCATGCTACATTCCATGTTCTTCCAAGGTATCATAGGTTTCAAGAATTCATATGCATATTTTTGTTTTACTTTTCTATGTCAGTAAGAGACATAAAAATGAAGAAATGACCCTTAACATTTCTGTCTCAATTCAGCAGGAGATGTGATTACTGACTATAACTGGAATAAAGGTCCCTGTTCATCCTGCCACCTGTCAATGCAGGGCATGAGGGCATCCTGCTATTACTAAGTCTTCCCTACTTGGTGGGGAGAAAGGAGGCTCTGCCATGGAAACCCAGACATGGAAAAGCTGTATTAGGTACCTACGATGGGATGTTGTTCCAAAAAATAAAGCAATCCTTAAGGATTTTATTTTACTCATAATACCTTAATGAATAGAATGACATGAATACTTTGAAAAATCTGAGTTATGTGCAGCTTTCAGTATTACAAAAATTCTAATAAAACATAATTACAACAATCATATTTCTATCGCACAATCCACAATAATCAGGGATAAGACAGGGATACAAAAATAAAATCAATCTGTAATCCTAAGATCTCATTTTAATCATCAGTTCTAGTCCTCATCTCCCAAGTTCTTAAATCACTGAAATGGAGATGTAATATCTGAACAATGTCTTCTCTCTTTGCTTTTTAATAAAGATGCTAATAAACAATATAGTATCTAAAATTAATTCGGCAGAAAATGGACAAGATCAAGTGTTAGAAGTCAATAAATAAGGATTATAATAATCAAATTATGAGCTAAAGATGAATCTAGAAATTTGTTTTAATTCTGGTAAGAAATAGGAGTTGGCCACATTATTTAACTGTTAGCATCTAACAAGTATATAAATAAATTTACAGACAGATGAAAAATACTGCCCTTTGAAACTTCAACTGCCATAAAAATAGGAATAGAGAATATATTTTCCTTAAAAAATGATTTTTTTCGCCTGGATTAAAAATCTTGTTTGCTGGTTATTTTGTGGGGGAGAAACACATTTCTATAATATGTGAATTCATTTAAGGTAACACACACACTGGAGTAACTGAAATAAATTCTGAGATGAATACTGAATGAATGAAATGATATATTTGTGAATGGTAAATGATAAACTTGTTGGTATGAGGACTATGACAGGTAGAAGTACAAATAAAGTTGGAGGACGATAAAAGACAATTGTAAAGTCTGAAAAAGCAAAAACAATTATTCTTAACTGAAAAAAAAAGCATCTCATGAGGGAAATAAAGAGGTAGGAAAAATGAATACTACCAGAAAGATGCCATAATATGAGTATAGGATGGCAGCGTGAGGCTTCAGAAAGGTTTCAGGGAGAATGAAGTGCTGTAGACAGAGTCTGAATGTAGTAAGAAAAGTTGAGAAACTCATGAAATGTGATGGAATCAGTAGAGAGTATAATGGGGTCTGTCTCCCTAGTTCAATAACTAAAATACACAGTCCTGAGAAAGCAAACAGTATTTATAGAGTAATGTTCAAACATACCCTTTCAAGTAATGAAAGTGTAGCTTTTAGAGCACCTTCAGGTCGTCCAAAGGGAAAACAGTATCTTTAAATACAAAAGAAAGAACAAAAGAGTCAAACATTTAATACCCAAGACTGCTAAATAATTCCTGTTTGTATTACTTGGCATTAATGAAGAACCATGAAACAAACTAAAAATATTATAGCATCAACTCATCCAGGGAAATTTTAACCGTTAAAAGTTTACCTAACCCTAGGATTTCAATGACTTAAACAATAAAGGTATAAGATACGATGAAAAAGGTTCTAAACGTTTTGAGGATACATGTTTTAAAAGAATACAGTAAATAAAAGAACCTCAAGGGTCATGAGTAAAGCAATAATATGCATTGCAATAATTTCTTGTTTAAGAATTGTTATCCAAGTTCTAAGAGAAAACGAAGTAAGTTCCCCCATTTCCTCCTACGGCTGTGTGTGGTTTAGGGTGGCCACATATACCACAGCAAGATTCCAGCTCTTTCCTTTGCTGACATTGGCCTGTCTACCATGATGTCTAGCTTTTCCACCTCCCCATACAATACACATAAACCCTCTGCAGTTCTTTTGTCTATAGTCATTTCTCCCAAATATTTCTAGTCCTACATATTCCTACTGCACACCAACAAATGGAGGACAGGTCATGGGGATGTTCTGAAATCAGTGTCAGACAAAGCTGGAGAGTGAGTGGGCTACTCAGATTTTCATGGTTACATGATGGTAACAGGTTTATCGCTCTTTACCAGGGGGGTCCTGCTTCAGGTCAATTTCCACTTAAACAATACTGAACATCAGGGCCATTTCATCTTTTTGGAGCTCCTTGCTTTGTTGAACCAGATTCAAAAAAGCACCTCCTCCTAGGACTACAGTTCCCACCGCAGGATCAAGTGCTACAGGCAGCTGAGCTGTCCTTAGGATGGCACCTTGCTCTGACTTAGAAATCTGCAAACTAATAACTTGCAAAGAAGTTTACGTATCTCTATGTCCTTTTGCATAATTCAGGCATTTAGTGGACATATTTTCTCAGATATAACTAATAATAAAATTATATTTTTCATGCCATAATTTAAACGTATTTCCCCCAAAAGCACATATGTTAAGTTTAACTTGTTTTATAGAACTGTTTTTTAAAGAAGAGATTGATTTCTCCTTTTTAAAACAAAACAGCAGTTTAATTTATATTAGGATTGGATTTTATATTCGTGAAACTTTCATTAGTCTCACACAGATGCAAATAAATGTTATAAAAATCCAGTCACTCAAGTTTTTTTTTTAAAACAGCATATCGCATTTATCATTTTATTTACTGCTAAAAATGTCCTTTCTTAATCTTGCCGCTATGTACTCTGCTACTCTCCACCCACACGCACAAAAAAAGCCATAACCAATTTATTTTGATAGTTTCTTCTGTGCAGTGGTGCTTTTAAGAGCATTAGCAAATTAGCAAAGTACCTTTAATCATTTTGTATACTATAAACCTTAATCCACGTTTAAATAAAACACAAATTGGGTTCTTGTAGTCCCCTCCCCCTGCTTAATCTTTTCAGTGTATTTGCATAATCCATCCATTGTCTTCCCTATTGTTTATTTCCATTAACCTGTGGGTGACACATTTTATGAATGGAATGTTACTGATCCCCAGATTACATTTAGCATTTCAGGGCTCTGAGGTCCCACTGGGTATGTTCTAAATTAGCATTAGCTGCCCATGATGTGTAAATAATTCAACGCATTTACAGAGTACAAGTAATCCGGAATCAATAAAGTACAGAAAATAACTACATAGAGGCTTAATTAATCTTTACAAAACAAGTTTTAAAAGAAGAGAAGTATTTTGTTCTGCTTTTCAGGCTAAATATTTTGGGTTTTTACCACTCTGGCAGCTCTATAACAGCAAAGCAAAGTGGAAAACACTCATTCATCAAATAAAATTCAGCCACATTATATACTTAACATGAATAAACTGAAGTCACCCTTATTCCCATTATGGCAAATTAATTGCACAGATAAATAAACCAGCACAGATTTGTCTTACAATTAAGCCCTTTTTGTTCCCTACCTATTTTTAAATACATTTTTTTTTTTTTTTAACCGAAGTGATATATACACATAGTTTAAAGAGGAAACTTTTTTATCTGACTTTTTTTTAAAATGAAAACCAGAAATCCTTTATGTCAGTTCCAGTTTCTGCCTTCTATTTTTAAAAAAATGCTGTCAACTTTTAGCTAATTCTTTTGGTATTTAAACTTTATATCTTTCAATTGTACATTAATATTTTTATTTCTTGATTTTTCAATTTTAAATATTGTCCTACTAACTTTCCACTATGGAAGAGAAGTATGTAGCTTTCATTTGTTTCAGGAACTGCACATATTTAAAATATACAGTTTGGTTAAGTTTTGACATATGTATATACTTGTGACTATAATCAAGTTAATTCATGGCCTGCAAGTCTTCCCCCCAGACCACAGGCAACTACTCATTTCCTTGCTATAATTTTGATTAGTTTGTATGTCTAGAATTTTAAGTAAGAGGAAATGTACAGTATTTACTTTTGTGGGTCTGATTTCTTTCACTTCGCATAGTTATCTTGATATTTATTCATGCTGTTGTATATATCAAGAGTTCATTCCTTTTTATTGGTGGGTAGTATTCCATTGTATGGCATACACTGGGTATCTGTTGCTTGCTGATGGTCATTTGGCTTTCAGAGTTTGGCTACTATGAATAATGTTGGTATGAGCAATCATATAAAAGTCTTTGTATGGACACATGCTTCCATTTCTCTTGGGAAAATACCTAGGAATGGAATGGCTGGGTCATATGATAAATGTTTAAATTTTTAAGAATCTGCCAAATTATTTTCCAAAGTGGGTTGTAGCATTTTATATTCCTATCAACAGCATATTAGAGTTCCAGTTTCTCCACAACTGTGCCAACACTTGTTATGTTCAGTTTTTGTTTTGTTTTGAATTTAACTATACCACAAGGTATGCAGTGGTACCTAACTGTGGTTTCAAATTGCAATTCCCTATTGAATAATGAGGCTGAGCATCTTTCTATATGCCTTTTTGCTATAATATTCCTTTGGTGAAGTATCTGTTAAAACAATTTTTTAAATTGGGTTAATATTTTATAATTAAACTTTTAAAATTGTATATATTCTGAATAAAAGTTTACTGTGAGATGTGCATTGTCTAAACATTGTCTCCTATTCTGTGACTTAACTTTTTATTCTAACAATGTCTTTGGAAGACCGAAAGTTCTCAATTTTCAGAAAGTTCAAGGTAACATTTTTTTCCATTTATGAATTATGATTTTTGTATTTTATTTAAGAATCTTTGCCTAGCCCTAAGACACAGATTTTTCTCCCAAGTTTTCTAGGTCTACCTATTTTGAGTTAACTTTTATATTATGGGTGAGGTATGAATTGAGGTCAATAGTTTGCATTTGAATATCCAATAGTTCCAGTACCATCTGTCGGAAAAAAGTATACTTTGCAAATTGCCCTTGCACATTTACTGAAAATCAACAGACCATGTATGTGTGTGAGTCTACTTCTGGACTTTCAATAGCATACTATCTTGATTACTGCAGCATTATAAATTTTGAAATCAATGTTAAGATTCCGACGTTGTCCTTTTTAAAAGTTATTTTTGCTATGGTAAATTCTTTGCATTTACATGTAAACTCTATTATCAGGTTAATTTCTAAAAACCAATCATGCTGGAATTTTGACTGAAATAGGTCAATGTAGAGAGAACTGACAACAATATTGAGTCTTCCGAGCCATGAGTACAGTATCTCTCCCTCTATTTAGGTTTTCTTTAATTTTTCTCAGCAATACTTTATACTATTCAGTGTACAGGTTTTACACATCTTTCATCAGGTTGATCCCAAAGTATTTCATATTTTTTGTTGCCATTGTAAATGATATTAATTTCAATTTGATTGTTGCCAGTATGTAAAAATAAATTAATATTTATATATTTATCACAGGGTGTGGTGGCTTATGCCTATAATCCCAGTATTTTGGGAGGCCCAGACACCACTGTCCATCCCTGAGAGGGTAACAGAGTAAGACCCTGTCTCAAAAAAAAAATTATCTAGGATTCTGCAACTTAAATATTATAGTAGAATTTTTTAGATTCCATAAGATTTTCTACTCGGATAATCATGTTACCTGCAAATAAAGATAGTTTTGCTTCTTTCTGTCCAATTTGGATGACTTTAAAAAATCCATTTTTTTTCCAGAATCCATGCACTGGCTAGACCATTTGGTACAATTTTGAACAGAAGAAGTGACAGCAGACATCCTTGCCTTGGTTTTGATTTTAGGCAGAAAACATTCAGTCTTTTACCATTAAGTATGTCAGCCGTAGGTTTACCATACATGCCCTTAACTGGTTGTATATAATGTATATTAATAATAGTCCTTCTAATACCTTTATTTACTAATTCTATATTTTGTGTCTTCTCAGTTTTGCTTGGTTGGCTTTTTAATCCTCTTCATTTATCATATTTTACTATTTTTCTACATACTTAAAAATTTTTGACTAGATGCTGGACATAGTGAGTTTTATCTTGTTGATGTCTAGATATTTTTGTATTCCTTTAAATATGCTTGATCTCTGTATTCAAGAATGCACTTAAATTACCTGGAAACAGTTTGACTCATTTGAATGTTGATTTTAATCCCCATTAGGTGATATCAGAGTTGTGTTTATTTTAGGGCTAATTTTTTTCCCATGGCTGAAGCAAAACCTAATGAGTACTCTATAGTACTCTACAGATGCCCATGAGTTGGTTTTCCACTCTGGGTAATGAAAACTAGAACTACCCCTGATCTTGTGTGTTAGCATTGGAGATTTCCCCCCATAATCCTTTCCTGTGGTTCTTTGTCAGACCTTGGATAGTTTGCTCACATATATGGAATGATCAATACTTAACCGGAGACTCCGGGGAATCATTTGCAAATACCTGTAGCTCTCTCCTCTCTCTCCTTTAGAACTCTGGTCTGAAATCTCTGGCTACCTTGGCCTCCCTGGAATTCCAGCTCTGCCTCTTCAAGTCAGAGAGTCCACTAGGCTCTACTTAGGTTCCTCCTTTCTGGATCATTGCCTGGAAATGCTCTTCTGGCAGTAAGCAGCAGGTACAACTAAAAGGCTTACTTCATTTCTTTTCCATTTCTCAGGAATCACTTTCATTGCTTTATGTTTAATGTCTTGAAAATATTTTTTCCCATTTTTGGGGCCTTTTAAAATTGTTTCGGGTGAGAGGGTAAATATAATCCCCTACTGCTCCATCTTGGACATAAGTAGCTCTTTTTTTTTTTTTTTGACCACATTCCCCCACTATAAACAAAATTTCCGTCCCTTCCTTACTTCTAATATAGTTACATCATTTTGCAGGGGTTAGATCTAAATTCAGTATCTACATTACATTAGTTATGAGAATGTCCTAGACAACTGAGACACAGTATTTTCTATGATTACTTTCTGTGCTTTGCTCAATAGTTTGTTCATAATTCATACTTCTATTTATTTTTGATGTTGTCTCTTTATATACTTAATCAAATTCCAAATTCTAGTAAAACTAGTACAATAATTAATACAAATCCAAGCTCTATTCCAAGTGGGTAAATGTCTCAATATGTCAAAATACATTTTATCAATTTAATCTACGTTGAAGCCTTTTCTGACATGCTCCAGTCAGCATTGATTGCTCTCTAAAATCAACTGGCACTTTGAGGGTCTCAGTTAACCATCACTCTAGTGATTCCTTTCTCTCTCCCATGCTGATTTCTTGTTTCAGGGATTTTTTTTTTTTTTGAGACACAGTGTCACTCCATCACCCAGGCTGGAGTGCAGTCACGTGATCTCGGCTCACTGCAGCCTCTGCCTCCTAGGTTCAAGTAATTCTCATGCCTCAGCCTCCCAAGTAACTGGGAATATAGGCGCTCACCACCATGACCAGCTAATTTTGTATTTTTAGCAGAAACAGGGTTTTACCATGTTGGCCAGGCTGGTCTCAAACTCCTGACCTCAAATAAGCCACCCACCTCAGCCTCCCAAAATGTTGGGATTACAGGTGTGAGCCACCACACCCAGCCAGTTTCAGGGATTTTAGATCCTCTTTGTTTCCCCCTGGTTTTGGTAAATTCTACAATTCACCAAAGGGAATATAAAAGAAACATTTTTTTTTAGTGCATGTCTAAAAATATCATTATTCTACCATCACTGTTAATAGAAACTATTGCTGGTACAGAATTCTAGGTTGGAAATGATAGTTTCTCAGAATTATGAAGTTACTGTTTTCCAGATACCAGTACTGCTCCTCACATCAAAATGAAAGTTGAAGAAAAGGATCTTTTAAAGTTTCGTTCACTGTCTGACACATAGTAGGAGCTCAATAAATATTTGTAGAATAAATCAATGTTGAGAAGTCATTCTAACTCATTGTATAAAATCTGGTTTCTCTTTCTGGAAGATTTTAGGGTTTTTTTAATCGTTAAGTTTCTGAAAATTCATGAAATGTACTTATAAAACCATCAGTTCTCCTGAGACTCGCTTATTATCATGAGAACAGCAAGGGGGAAACCTCCCCCACGATCCAATCACCTCCACCTGGTCCCGCCCTTGACACTTGGGGATTATTACAATTCAAGGTGAGATTTGGGTGGGGACACAGAACCAAACCATATCAGGATTGTAAAGTACATATTTAGAGAAATTATCCAAAGATGATGTGCGTATAAGAGAAATAGAGAAACAAAACTTTAAGAGAGGACAGGAAACTAAAATGATACTAATACAAAATGAATACAATGAATGACGTGGACAGCGCTATCCATTATTATGTAGTTGTAGTTTTTGGGTGGTAGTGTGGGGGACTGAAGTCCCCTGGTGAGTGGCTCTGATTACTCTAACTCGATATAGCAATCCCATGTCAATGTCAGTGACTGATTGAGGCATCCAGTGCACAGAATTTCTCTGGCTGCTGGTTTTGATTCAAAACCAGGCTCATGAGATATAAAAAAATAGTTTGCTAGATCTTCTAAGGAAACTTTTTATGATCATAAGAGAAAACTACAGAAAAATACAGCTTCTATGACTTCCTTTGAACACTGGCATGTATGAATGTGAGGCCAAGAAATTCTGCAAGCTTAATGGCTAAGGCTAAGATAAAGAAAAAAAAAATCAAAAAATTATGTTATCTTACTACCAGTCTGGGGATGAAGCTATCCCATGAAAGAGAATAGTACTGTGAGAATCACAAAGAAAGAGAGCTGTGGCTACTGAATAAAGCTTGTCTTAAAGCTTGCCTGCTTGAGACCTGCAGGCAAGTGAGCATACAAATTTATTTATTGTTTAAAACACTTTGAGGTAGAATTTCTACTGCTTGCAGTTGAAATCATTGATATAATAATGGGGACTTACTTAGTTACTAATATAGATATCTAATTGAATGATGGCTGGGTCTCAACGGTAGCAAAAAAGAGGGAAATTACACTGATTTTCATTGAAAGATACATAAAATACATTTAAAGGATTCTATACAACCTAAGAGACAATACTTTGTTTGTTTGTTTTTGGTTGTTTTGTTTTTGTTTTTTTGAGACAGAGTCTTGTCACCCAAGCTGGAGTGCAGTGGTGTAATCAGAGCTCACTGTAGCACTGACCTCCCAGGCTCAAGTGATCCTCCCACATCACCCTCTGGAATAACTGGGACCACAGGCACATACCACCACACCCAGGTAATTTTTTTGTTTTTCTTTTTTGTGGAGATGGGGTCTCGCTACATTGCCTAGGCTGGTCTTGGACTCCTGGGCTCAAGCAACCTTCCCTCCTAAAGTGCTGGGATTATAGGTGTGAGCCACCGCACCTGGCTAACGCAACGCTTTTAACAACAGCAAATGCAGAAACACATCTCTACAAATGCAAAAGAATTTTTTATGTCTTCCTTTTGTTTATAAACTCAAAAATCATTTCAGGCAGAGAATTCAATCTTAACTCTGTAAGTTGAATTGAGCTATGTTATCTACAACAGTGTTTCCTAATGTAAATTTACTGGCCTTTTGAGCAGAATAATTCTCCAGTGTGGGACTGTCTCATGTACTGCACTTTTAAACCCAGCACTAAATGACTGTCCCTACCCCTGGTTATCGTGACAATGAAAATCATACCTCATTCACTTACCCTAAGGTAGTGCTGCCAGCCCCAGTTGAAAAATCACTAATGTAGGGGAATAGATTCATAGTATATACTATGAGATTTTCTCCTTTCAATATCATTTAAAAAATCACAGAGTCTAAGACCTTTATATTATCAGAAAACATAACAAAAAGGAATAATAATGAGGCAATAAGGTATCAGGAAGAATAAGAAGATAAGGAAACAGAGTCTCAGCATAGTCACACAGCATTCATATGGTTAAATAAAATATTTTTGCGAGCATATTCACTAAGTTTATTTTTTAAATAAGTGCACATGAAATGTTTCCAAATCACATGCATGCAACATGGCAGACAGGTTAGAAGACACAATACTTTATGTGGTGACATTTTATAGGCCTAATAAGAGAGAGAAAGAAAATATATTGGCATATTTCTGTTTTTAATCATTAAGGTCTGTTGAATTAACTATAACCAGGAGAAAAGAAATATTATCAAGGTATTTATCTTTTACTCTGTAAATGTTTGACATGTTTCTTAGTATTGGTGGCTTTTTTTTTTTTCTTTTTTTTTTGAGACAAGGTCTCATGCTCTCGTACAGGCTGGAGTGCAGTGGTGTGATCACAGCTCACTGCAGCCTCAACCTCCCCAGAATCAGGTGATCCTCCCACCTCTGCCTCCTGAGCAGCTGAGACTATAGACATGCACCACTATGTCTGGCTGGTTAAGTTTTGTGTTTTTTATAGAGATGGGGTTTCACCATTTTGCCCTGTCTGGTCTTGAACTCCTGGTCTCAAGTGATTCACCCCACAAGGCCTCCCAAAGTGTTGGGATTACAGGCATGAGCCTCTGATACAGGCTGATACAGCCTCTGATACAGGCTGATAGCTAAGTTTTTGAGCAAGGAATGGTGCTAGGTGCTGTGACCTGTGTTCTCACAGAATGTAAATAAAAAGATAACTAATGACTTTAAAGCTATGTGGGTTGTAAGTGACAAGAAAATAGTACAGACAATAAATGCTCAAAGACTTCAGAATACTCTTTGCTGGAATAATTGAGAAAGGCTCCACTGTGGAGGTGAGACTTGAGGGCTCCTTATCTGGTAACACAGAGAGCAGGAGAAAACAGTCACCAGAGCTGGGGGAAGGGACTATGCAAGAATGAGAAATGCAAAAGGCAAGTAAGAGGTGCAATGGATATTGTAGGGGGAATGGCTAACCTAAATGAGTACAGGAGACTGAATGATACGCTGAGAAGCAGACCACAGACTGAAGAGTGTGATCTTCTCCTGCAGGCAATGGAGGGCTACTGATGATCTTGAGCACTAGCAGAATGATACAAAAAACAATTTGTGGGGGAAGTAAGGGTTGAGTGAAGTATGAAAAGAAATATTTATATTAATGAATAAAATATATATACCTGAAATGGCTTATCTGATTTTCTAAAAGGGAAGAGAGTCTCTCTTTTATCTCCTCAAATCTTTCTTTTTCTTCCACTGAAACAGTCCCAATTCCATCAGGTCTGAAAAAAAAAATCAGAATCAATAATTTATATTGATTGAGCATTTACTTTTATATGTTTAATATATTTTTTTATATATATATATATTTTAAAATCCAAGGAAAAGTTCACTGTATACATATGAATTGTGTTTACAGTGGAAACTTACTGGATATATTTGCAGCCATTTGCTTTATATTTTGACCCAGAATGAATGGAATGGAATTATTCTCTTTTAGACAGTCTTCAAGGTAAAAGATTACAATAAATATTTTCCAGATCTACCAAAACAATGACTGGTCCTTGAAAATGGCAGTGAAAAGTGTTTTATAGTAGTACCAAACATTTGACCAACCAAGTGAAATCCTCTGAATGAAGATATTATTAAAAAATAATGAAGGTAAGGTAAAATGTCTTAACTGCTTCTCTTCTAAATAATAATTCAGCTAACACAGAACTGGAGATTTAATTGTTGTAGGAAACATAAAAATTTTGGATACATGTAGAAGTTCACTGCCCTTTTTGTTTGCTTAAATATATAGGCATATGAATAAAAATAAATATTAGAATTAAAATATACAGGGAAGAAAGAAAGCTATGTTTCTTTTCAAGATTTTTGTGTTTAAATATTCCTGTGAAAGCAACGTGAGTTCCATCAGAATTTTACAAAGCAGCTATGAAGACTGAAAAAAAATCTTATTTTACTAAGATTAGGATTAAAAATGTAAAATATATCAAATAACAGAAATTTATAATTTATTCTGTATCAATTTAGGCATCCGGTTGTACAGCAATCATCTAAAATCTTGAACATAGAAATCTTAACTGTCTTGTTAATGCAGAGGAAAAAAAGTATGAATCTCATATTCACTTCAAAACCTGTTTATATATTTTAACAACAAAATAAGACTTTTGCACTTGATAATTAACACCAATCATTTCCTACCTTTTTAGTTTGTTTATTTATTTGTTTATTTATTTATTGAGACAGAGTTTTGCTCTTGTTGCCCAGGCTGCAGTGCAACGGCACGATCTTGGCTCACTGCAACCTCCGCCTTCTGGGTTCAAGCAATTCTCCTGCCTCAGCCTCCCCAGTAGCTGCGATTACAGGCACCTGCCATCATGCTTGGCTAATTTTTGTATTTTTAGTAGAGACGGGATTTCACACTGTTGGTCAGGCTGGTCTCAAACTCCTGACCTAAAGTGATATGCCCACCTTGGCCTCCCAAAGTGCTGGGATTACAGGTGTGAGCCACCGTGCCCAGCTTAGCTTATTTCTCTAAAGATTATATTTTAATTCCCAAACACTTGTGCATTTATCATTCCAATGTACTAATTGTAATGGTTACATATAAAATAGGTAGAAACAGGAATTATTGAAAACAAAGAAAAATGAATGCTTAAAATAACTTTCCTAACAAGATTTTTATTTGTTCCTTTATATATATATACATATAATCATATGTATGTGCGTGTATACATATGTTTGATGCTTGTTAACTAGTCAGTGAGGACGAAAGCAATTAATTTTAAACTTATATCTGAATTATACTGACATAATGACCTTTCAGTCAAATCAATGTATCATTTAAGTATGAGAATTTTTTTCCAATATAGAGTACATAATTTTTACTTCAGAGACTCACAAGCTGCTGGAATTTACGCTTTGAAAACATTTCTTACAACATTTTATTCCTAAATAGGGAAATATTAATTTCATATGCAGAATAATAAATCAATCACATTTATTCCATCTGAATTCATTTTGAATGTTAACTATGGAAAAATTAATGGCCAAATATTAGTCTTTCAAGTATTTTTAGGAAGGAGAAAAAGTCTAATGCATAAATTACAAAGCAGTGAACTATGAGTGAATTCTAATGTTTTACATTTATTTAATAATAGATTTTTCACATATTACTTTAGAATCAATTCCCGTTGAGCAAATGTTAATACAAAACACAAACTTTAACCTATGAATAATTATGCATTGATAATGATCACAAAAGTTCAACTGGGAAATTCTGTTTAAATCATTAATTGGGAATTTGGGTATTCAGACAAAAACTATACCTAAATTACATTATTATGTAGACAACAATAAAAACTCATACCATAATGTTACAGGTGATTATTTCATTGAATATGCCTAAGCAAATTGATAAAAAGAGCAAATAACTTATCTTTATTATTCTGCTGATTTGACATAATCTTTTGGCTTAGCTACCTGACAGGCGCTACATAGTTAAATATGAGTAAACGTTTCTATTTGGTTCAACTGTCAAATGAGATAGTCATCCACGGTGATAGTGTAAGTTGTCCCATCATATTAGACTTCATTGTGGCACACTGCCTGCTTGACAGAATGGAGCCAGGGGGTCAGGTGATGACAAGTGAGAAAGGTAAGTCAGCGGAAGCTCACTTGTGTCAACCTTCACTTAGAAAAGAATGTTATATAGAGTGAAGGACCACCATTTTACTGAGTTTATCACTAAATTAGGTACAAATCTGACAGGTTAAATTCCACGTTTAGCAATTTGGACTTGCCTTTGTTTACACATCCTTATTTTAGTATATATACAAGATTAAGTACTGAATATTAGGAATATGAAGCAGCCTTCTATATCTAAATTATTGGTAATAAATGGTAACTTTGCAGTAGTCAACTTTAAAGGCAACATTTCCTCCTACAATAATTCTTCCCGATAAATGCAAATACTTTCCATATCATCAACATCTTGTCATTGTAATTATTAAAACAAACATAAAGATAAGCACTTATAGAATTTTAAATGCATGTCTGGTAATTTGTACTGGCTATTTTATGTGTAGAATAACACATAAAGCCCACAGCAATCCTGTCTCCTTTCCAAAAGAGAAGGCTGCTGAGGCTCAGGGAGGTTGGGTTAATTCTCCAAGGTCACACCGCTGAGAAACGCAGGAGCCTGGACTTGAACCTAGGTCTCTTGCCCTCCGAGGACAATGCTCTTATCCTTCCTCTCTTTCTGCTATATTTTGACAGAAAATAATAAGGAGCAATAGAAAACCAATTAAACCATGAAAATTACATTTGAAAAGCAATAATGGACTATTTTGAATATCCTTACATTAGACATTTTCTATCTGACTTGTCTAAGGTGGAGACTTTAAAAACCAATGACATTGAAAATATAACGCTTACCATTGAATCAGCAAGTTAGTTAAAGAAGACCCTAAGAAAGGAAGTCCTAAACCTTGCTCTTTCACACATTCTAAGGTATGTTTTTACAAAAGCCTTGAGAGAAATTTAAACCAGTTATATTTTGTGAATGTTTGTTTAGTAGACTAAGAGTATTCGAGATTTCAAAATTATCGTTCATATAAGCTCAGTTTATAAATTCATTCCTGCCAGCTCTACCTTCAAAACACACCCAGAACCTGACCTTCCTTCACCATATCCACCACTGATCCACTGACCCCAGCCACCATCAGTTTATCCCTGAGTATGTAGGCAGCCTCTTGGTCTTTCTCCTCCAGCGCTTTCTTTGTCAGAGAACTGGCCACATACTACTCTGAGCCTCTTCAAGCATGAGTCATTTTTACAGTACTCCTTGACTCAAATGTTGTAATGGTAGCACACAAGGTAAAAGTCAAAGCCTTTATAACGGTCTATTAGCCCCGCTTCCCACAATCTGACTTTATCTACCCCCTCACTTGCCCTGTTCCCCTCCACTCAAGCCATGCTGGCCTCCTAGCTAGTCTTTAAACACAGGAAGTAAGCTCCAGCCTCAAGGCCTTTGCAAGTGCTGCTGCTTCTGCCTGAGAGCGCTTTCTCTACGTGTACACAAATTATATATGCACACATGCACACCTGGCTTGCTTGCTCACTTTCTTCTGGTATCTACTTACATGACTTGAGATTAGTGAGGTTATCTCCAACCATCCTATATGAAGGTGTGTTTCCCATTCCCATAGACCTTTTTCTCAATATGTTTTATTGATGACCACTGTACATATGGCTGCCACCTAACATGATACATTTATCTATTTGGTTACTGTCTGCTTCCTTTGTGATGTATCTCTAGTGCCAGAATACCAGCTGGCATATTGATATTTTAACACATACATGCTGAGGAAATGAATGAGTGATATATGCAATATAAAAAATTACTTAACATGATAAGAATTCATGAATTAGTAATATGACAAATTATTATTACTACTTATTAGAACAGGGTGTAAATTATTGGAACATTTTTATTTTATTTTTTATTTTTGAGATGGAGTTTCCCTCTGTCACCCAGGCTGGAGTGCAGTGGTACAATTTCAGCTCACTGCAACCTCCGCCTCTCAGGTTCAAGTGATTCTCCTGCCTCAGCCTCCCAAGTAGTTGGGATTACAGGTGCGTGCCACCACGCCTGGCTAATTTTGTATATTTTTAGCAGAGATGAGGTTTCAAGTTGGCCAGGCTGGTCTCGAACTCCTGGCCTCAGGTGATCCACCCCCCCTCAGCCTCCCAAAGTGCTGGGATTACAGGGCAGAGCCACCATGCTCAGCTTGTAACATTTTTATTATGTGATAGTTGCTAAAATAGAACATTTCGTGAAAAGCAAACAGAAGTAGGAACTGTAGTTAAGTGCACTGGGTAAAAAGATCTCTAATTAAAGTTAGTATGTATTTACACTTAGCAGAAAATCTTCGATGTTTAATTCTACTTTAATTAATAGTAAAATAATTTACTTTAAATCTTAAGAATAGAATTTTTCTCCTTAGATATAAGTAAACGTAATCATGCCGCTTTGACATCGATAGTCTGTTAAAATGTGGGTATTTAAAATTGTAACATAAAAGACAAATTTTCTCATTCGAATGTTAAGTGGGACTTAAGTCTATGATGATAATTAAATATTAAAGTGGTTCTGATGAGAAGAAAGCGTAGTCTTATGTATCAAGATTTACTATTCTCATTTTCTTCTGGGGCCTGTAGTTATTGAAGTTACATGATTTCCATAAAAATAGGGTGCTCTGTGAAAAAGGCTTAA